TTCCGCTGAATTGCCGCCGCAGATCGCGATCGCGGTCTTTTTGTTTTTTGTTTGTTTGGCTGCTTGGGGCGGCCAAAACCCTGGAGCCGGCCCTGCCGATATTACATTGTTTTAATGTAATTTAGATGGAATGTGCAGATGTTTGGGGAGGGTATGGAAAACCGTTCTGAAGCGGCTGCCGGGGGAGGCGAGCATGTATCTGTTCAAAATGGAGCATGATTAGGGACTTCAGCATCTCTGTTTGCTCCTCCATTACTTTTATCATCCACTCAGTGGCCATTTACAGCGACATAATCAAGCACAGTGTCTACACTGACCCTTTGTTGCTAAAACTTTGCCTCAAAAAGTTCTACGCCTCTCATCGAGGTGGTTTTATTTTATCACCAAAACAGTTTTTGTCACCAAAAGTCGCATTGTAGCGTGTACACCTCCACTGTTTTGTCAACAAAACTGTGTAGTGTAGACAAGACCTTAGTAATAAAACTGATTCTTTCCCCCCCAAACAGGCTATTCAGGTTCCACACCGGACTTAATCCACCGGATCGAGGTAGGGGAGGCAGAGCTCTGGATCCAGGATGCCGAGAACTCCAGGGAAAGCTCAGGGCCTGAGAGCCCCTCCCGAGGTGAATCATTGTAACCCAATCCCTTAATGGGGCGGGGAATTCACCACTGGAACACCTCCCTTAGGGACGGGATGGGTTCTCCATCACTGGGAGTCTGTTGGAGATGGGGCATCTCTCTCTCAAAGCTCTGCTCTAGCTCAGCCAGCAGTTACTGGGCCGGAGGCAGGAATTGCTGGGGAGTTTCTCTGGCTGGGTTAGGCAGGAGGCTGGGCTGGATGGGCACAATGGGCTTCTCTGGGCTTGATATCTATGACCCGGGATGGGACCTAAGAGAGATGGGGCCTCAAAGCAGTGAAAGAGACATGAATTGGCAATGGGGAGGTGATGAGATGGGATGAGGAATGGGATAGTGGTATGTGACAGTGTGGTGGGGGATTTGAGGGGTGCTGAGGGAAAGAGAGCTCTCCTGAGGGAAGGACATGGGCTATGTTTACACAGAGGTAGCGCATTGGATTGGCGCATTGAAGTGGATTCATAAGTTCTAGATTCATTTCCTGAAGTGCTCCCTGTGCATCAGTTTCACCCTCTTTGTAATGGGGAGGGCTGTGAGGCCGTGAGGCTAACATCCCACTTTGTGTGTCAGGGCATCAGACTCTGTAGAGCTGGGGGGTGAGACAGGCCTACTGGTCCATAGTCCACAAAGCTCTCTTCTAGGCTTCCTTGCAGATAGGACTCCTTCTAGGGCAAGAGTTCTGAGCCATTTCCCCCTGCCGTTTAACCAGGACTCCTGGCAATATGGGAAGGGCATGGTGGCATTGACCCCAGGTCTAGGATCTACGGGAGGGAGCACAGTGGGACAACCTTTCTCTCATCCCCCTCTCTTCCTGCTCCCTCAGTGGCACAAACCCTTTGACACTTCAAACGAACATTGCTTCAGTGCTAATGCTTAGCTCGCCCATCAGCCTAAATGAGGTCTGTGCTTGTCTGTAGATCGCAGGCCCGCTGCGTAGGAGCCACGAACCCCTTCCCGCTTAACAGTATCCATTGATTGGCTTGTAAAACAATACAAAAGTAGTTTCAGGTTACATCACATAAATCCTGAGTAATTTGTCCCTTCCCCCACACCTGCAAGAAAAAACAAACTTCCAGTTTAGTTTTGCACAAGAAATGAAACATCAGGCCCAGGGGGAATGACTTCTTGAAAAGGACTCACTCCCCCACAGGAATAAGCTGTGTTGTTCTAAGCACCTTTATACTGGTCTAACTGTGTCCACATTAGAGGGATGTAGCCCTTTAACTAAACTGGTTTCAAAGTGGTATAGTTAAAACAGTACCAAAACGGGGGAGCAGGCCTCATGCGACAAAATGGGGGGAAAGCGACGAACCAACAACATAAAATCCTGATTGAAATAAAAACTAAATCAGTTTGAAAAGAAAAACCGGACCCTGTTTGTCCTGCATTCGCATGTAGGGGTCCTGGTCCTGGATCAGGGCCGTGTTGTACCAGTTTCCTGGGCACTCTACAATTTAAGCATAAAATGAGACACGAGGTGCATGCTCATGTGGGAGCAGGTGCTAGGTGCTGCACAAACAACTTAGGGTAGAACCACTATAAGTCAGGCTGCAGATTTGTCACAGCATTTTGTATCAAATGGGCACCGACCATTCACAGCAGCACCCTCCACCCAGCACCGTGACCCTAATCCTGGCCTGGTGTGGAGAGGCTCGGGGGCTGGGGGGAGACTCGCGTGAGCTTGCCCCATGCTCACCCCACAGTGTTAGTCCCTGGAGCTCCTGGCTCTAGGACTTGTCCTGATTCCCTGCCCACACCCCACAGCAACAGTTCCTATCCCGTGGGGCTCACGTTTGATCTGTCATGGGTGGGACAGAGGGGCAAATGTGAGTGGCACTTTGGCCCTGGATGCCAGGTTACACTGTCTGGTGCAGGGCTTCGGGCCCAGCCCCGTGGGACAGGAGTCACTATTGCGGGGTGAGTCACAGACAAGTCACGGACAAATGGGAAAACTGAGCTATCGATGAGATTTTTCTCACTTTGACAAGCCTGCAAACTTAACCGTGAGCCAACACCAGGATTCCCTCTGCTCTCTCCAGCAGGGCACGGGATCCCGGGAGGAATGAGGAGACGGTCTGAATGTGGGGTGAGTGTGGGAGGAAAGCTGGATCCCACAGCCCACGGGGGGAACCGTGGACAGGATGGAGTCAATCCCCATGCCGAGTGTGGGGATGGACTCAGCCAGAGACCAGAACTGGCTAAGCACCAGAGGCTTGCTGTGGGGCAGCAATCCCATGGCTGTGTCGACTGCGGCAAGAGGTTCAGCAACGCCTCCGCACTGAGCCAGCACCGGCGAACGCACAGCGGGGAGCGGCCGTACCGCTGCGCCGACTGCGGCAAGGGCTTCATCAGAGCCTCCGCACTGAACCAGCACTGGCGCACGCACACCGGGGAGCGGCCCTATCGCTGCACCGACTGCGGCAAGGACTTCGCTCAGCTCTCACACCTGTCAGCACATCAGCACACGCACACTGGGGAGCAGCTGTACCGCTGTGCTGACTGCGGCCAGAGCTTCTGCTGGGCCAAGTCTCTGCACCGGCACCGGCGCACGCACACCCAGGCGTGGCCGTACCACTGCGCCGACTGCAGCAAGGACTTCAGTGATGCCGCCTCGCTGAGCCGGCACCGGCGCACGCACACCGGGGAGCGGCCCTACCTCTGTGCCGACTGCGGCAAGAGCTTCGGCAACGCCTGGACGCTGACCCAGCACCGGCGCACGCACACCGGGGAGCGGCCCTACCTCTGTGCCGACTGCGGCAAGAGCTTCGGCAACGCCTGGACGCTGACCCAGCACCGGCGCACGCACACCGGGGAGCGGCCCTACCTCTGTGCCGACTGCGGC